TAACAAATAAGTGTTACACGGTCATGATATGTATTTTTTAGTATCCCGTAATTTCACGGTCTCCAATATAGATGCATATTGTAGAGTGAGACATTAAATGTAACTATATATAACCGCTACTGTTTGTTTTCAACCCAACAGCCACGCACAAATCGTCGAGCCTCTGTGAGTAGAAGTGAAAAATCACAATGAATACCACCGACCACCAGCATCGGATAATACTATGGGCTTATCCTCGTTCGATGTCAACTGTTACTGAGCTCTCTATAGCAGCATTAGGCAACCTGGAAATATTCCACGAACCCTATGTATCAGCATATTACAATGGAAAACTACCACTTGATTTGTTTAAAAAATATACATATGCTGATGTGAAGGACATGTTAGAGAAACCCTACCCTGGTAAAGATGCAATCTTCGCCAAAGACCTCGCTTACACAGTGGATGGGGATTACAGTCGGCTTCCACGTGAGTATCAACACACTTTTCTAATCAGAGATCCGAGACAATCAATTCCAAGCTTTCACAAAGCAGCTATTGAAAGCGGATCCACGTTTACAGACAAATGGTTGCCTTTTAGTGGTGGGGTCAAACAACTGTATGATCTGTTCGTGTACGTAACTGAAATACTCGGACAGGAAGCCACCATTATTGATGCATACGATCTGTGCAATAATCCGCGACAAATACTACAAGAATACTGCAAGAGGGTTGGATTACATTTTCATGAAAAGATGTTGAAATGGGAACCAGGCAACAATGGTCATTGGCAAAAATTCGGCAAGCAATCTGTAATCACAGACGGACTCGCGAGACAAGCTCTTAGGAGTACCGAGTTTTTACCAATTTCGAATACAAGTGTTGATATGGAGAATATTCCTGATTATGCAGTGGAACAAATCAAGTTGGCAGTGCCTTACTATAAACTATTACATGACAAAAGAATCAGACCAACTTAAAGAAAACTTAGAAAACAATTGTGTCTTCATTCTGTTTACTGTTTGCAC